TGACATATCGTACCACAGGGGGAGTTCTGGACTTTTATGTGTTCTTGGGGCCAACTCCAGAGCTTGTCACCCAGCAGTACACTGAGGTAGGGGGAGATCCAATTGTTTATCAAGTACTTATACAGCACAGTCTGTGTACCAGAGCCCTCATTGATTCATATAACTCTCAGATGATAACTGATCTTTCTTGGAGAGAGATTATAGAGTAAGGAAAAATAGATATATTCTAATGACCATTAAATTGTTAGCCTCTGTAAGCACTGCAGAGTAGCAGAAGTAATAGTGGTACTAGTAGTGGTGATGGTAGCCATAGTAGTGTGGTGGTAGTAATTGTGGTTGTAGTGGTGATGGTGATGATGGCAGTAGGGGGTGACAGTGGTGATAGTGATGTGAAAATGGTGATAGTGATGGTGGTGGTAGTGGTGGTGATGGTGATGATAGTGGTGAGTGTGGTGGTGATGGTGGTGGTGATTATGGTGGTGGTAGTGGTAGTGGTGGAGATGGGTGTGTTGGTGATGATGGTGATAGTGGTGCTGATGGTGATGAGGGTGGGGCTGGTGATGGTTGGTATTTGATGGTGATGATGATGTTGATGGATATGATGGTGGTAGTGGTGGTGACAGTGGGGTGTTATGAGGAGTGTGGTGTTGGTCATAGTGGTTGTGATAATAGTGGTGATGGTGGGGGTGGTGATGGTTGGTGTTTGTTGTAGTGATGATGATGATGGTGGTAGTGGAAATGGTAGTGGTAGTGGTGACAGTGGGGTGGTGCGAGAAGTATGGTGTTGGTGATAGTGGTTGTGGTGATTGTGGGGGTGGTGATGGTTGCTGTTTGCAGTAGTGATGGTGATGATGGTGGTGGTGGTAGTGGTGGTGACCATGGGGTGGTATGAGAAGTATGGTGTTGGTGGTAGTGGTAGGGGTGATAGTGGTGATGGTTGGGGTGGTTATGGTTGGTGTTTGTGGTAATGATGATGATAAGATTGGTGGTGGTTACAGTGGTGGTAGTGATGTGACTGGGTTGGTGTGAGGAGTGTGGTGTTGGTGGTAGTGGTGTGGTAATGGTGGGACTGGTGTTGGTTGGTGTTTGTGGTAGTGATGGTGATGATGATGGTGTTGATGGAGATAGTGGCGGTAGTGGTGGTGACCGTGGGGTGGTACGAGAAGCATGGTGTTGGTGGTAGTGGTTGGGATGATAGTGGTGATGGTAGTGGTGGTTATGGTTGGTGTTTGTGGTATTGATGGTGATGATGTTGGTGGTGGTTATGGCAGTGGTAGTGATGTGACTGTGGGTTGGTGTGAGGAGTGTGGTGTTGGTGGTAGTGTTTGTGATGATAGTGGTGATGGTGGGGAGGCCAGTGGGGTGGCAGTGGGGTGGTGGTGATGGTAGTGAAGGGTGATGATAATGGTAAAGATGGTGGTGGGGTGTATGATGGTGGTACTGGTGGTGATGGTGAAAATCGTGATGATAATGGTCGTGACTGTGGTGGTGGCAGCAGCAGCAGCAAACACTATGTACTATCTACTGCACATCACTGATCACTTGCTGCATATTAGAGCACTTCATACATAATAACTCATTCAGTCCTCACAAAAGCACTCTGAGGCTGATACTATTATTTTCCCTTACAGATGAAGAAACTGAAGCAATAAAATTACTTAATTTTTACCTAAGGTCACACAGCTAGCAGGACTGGAGCCAGGCATTTTGCCTCTGATTCTGGGCTTCTTAACAAGTTACCTACAGTACCTCTATGAATAAATTTGGCTTTTCCAGAATTTTTAAAAAGGCGCTCAAGTCTAGCAGAAAGCTTTCTCCAAGAATCCCAGTGGCCCTATATCCTGTCAGATTTGGTCTGGATTTGAATTTGTTAGTTGTCTAGCTTGGGGCATGGAAAAATATTCTTATTACTTCCTGAAAAACTTCAATCTGGTGTTTCTGTTCTGAGGACGAATGTTTCCTGTCTATTTTCTAGTTGATCGGCCGGCCTGTGATGGTTCCTTACTGGTCTTTGGGCTTCCAGCTGTGTCGCTATGGATACCAGAATGACTCTGAGATCGCCAGCTTGTATGATGAGATGGTGGCCGCCCAGATCCCTTATGTACGTTCTCAGTCATGGCTCTGGAGTTTGAAAACTAGCCCAGTGCCTCTGTGTCTGGGTTCATTTGTCTAATGTTTGTGGGATTCTATAAAGACATAACATTCTTTTTCAGGCAATATCACAGTTAGCCTCACCCCAGCATGGTAATACAGGTAAGGGACTTTGTTTCCATCTTCTAGAGGTGGTATAGCTTAAGACTCACCATGATTTGCCAAAGGACAGGGAGATAGGCTGGCTCCAGGGCTCTTTCTGCCACCTCATGCTTCCTTCCATTTCTTTGACATGACTTCCAAACCTTAGTCAAAACGTCCTTTGTTCCATAAGAATAAATGATATACCTCAGTTCTTTTACTTAATTCTTGGAAAAAAAAAAAAAAAAACTAACTGCAAACAGTCAGACCATTGTATATGTGGATATGACATCAGTTCCTGCAGCCCTGGTGCTGTAACTCAGTGTCCCATCATCTCTGAGTTAATCACTGATGGGTGACACAGATCCTGGGATGGGTTTTCAGAGGATGTACATATGGAAATAAGCCTTATCCTTCACTGGCGGATGGGAGGGGAACCAGTTATCAAAGAATTGACCCCATGAACCATAGCATATTTAATTTCATTCTACTTTTCTACTGTTTACAATAGTACCATTAGTGGAACATAGTGTTTCCATTAGTGGATAGTGAAGTGCAATATTTCATTCTCCAGAATAAGGTTGTGTCTGATCACCCTCAAGATTGGGTATTCCAAAGCTACTATACATTGTTGCTTTGTTTTGTTTTGCAGTAGATTTGCCATCCATGTTGTATTAGCCCTGGGTAGTTAACATAATTTTTTCTAAACATGCACCTCTGATACCAGGGGCAGCCTCTTGGAGGAGGTCATCACAATCACGCCTGATAGTGGCAGTTTACAAAGCACTTTCCAATCCTTGTTAATTTATGTATCCTAAGAAGAGCCATGCTAGAGAGGCATTCTCATCCTATTTGGTACAGACTTAGATTTTTTTTTTTCTAGTTTATCACTGAAAATTTGAAAAATTGAGTGAATTTCCCAGAAGCTATACCAAACACGTGGCAGAGCTGGGTTTTGAAAGCATGTACAAGAAGCTGTCTGAAATACAGCAGCCACTCACTTCCCGTGTCCTCCCGCAGGACGTGCAGTACTCAGACATCGACTACATGGAGCGGCAGCTGGACTTCACCCTCAGCCCCAAGTTTGCTGGGTTTCCAGCTCTGATCAATCGCATGAAGGCTGACGGGATGCGGGTCATCCTCATTCTGGTTAGTCCTGATGTGAATGTGTGCATTCTGTTTGGGAGCAGGTATGGGCTTTGGTGGAGAAAGCTTTGTTTCCATGTTACAATTAGTTACATTGAAGCTCTAGAAGAAACATGTATTTCCCAGGACTCTGAGAAACTCTACAGTTCAGGTAGAAGCTAGGGAGTTCCCTGGAGGAGTTCTCTTTTATTCTGTTTCTCCTCATTCTCTGGCTTTGGTTTTCCCAACTGACTTATGCTTTGATTTCAGGATCCAGCCATTTCTGGCAATGAGACACAGCCCTATCCTGCCTTCACTCGGGGCATGGAGGATGACGTCTTCATCAGATACCCAAATGATGGAGACATTGTCTGGGGAAAGGTATACTCTGAGCGATAATCCACTGATCCCTAACCTGAGGGTGGGTCACTGTTAGTGGGTCACATGCCTATGTATGTCATTTTTGGCTTTTTCTATTTTGGCTCCGAGGTCAGAAGCTCTCATTTTCTCAATCCATATGTGTTGATACAGTTAATGACTTTTAAGGTAATGTGATGCATTAGGGAATTCACTTTTCTTTTATGTCAATCTTACATGATGATCAAAGGAACATGGTTGCTGCTAGGAACATGGTTTATATAATAATTTCTCAGGAAATACTCTGTAAGGGAACTGTCTAGTGCATTGCTGCTGAACATGTTTCTCTCCACAGGTCTGGCCTGATTTTCCTGATGTTGTTGTGAATGGGTCTCTAGACTGGGACAGTCAAGTGGAGGTAAAAGGGTCTTTGCAGATTTGGGTGGAGTCTGGGTTTCTAGGAAGGGGCAGCCGTACCTGTGATTCTGGATATGCCTGTACCATGGACATGAGCTTGGCAAGGGGGAAACACTTAGGGGATGTTTCTTGGGTATCAGTTTGTGTGCCCATTACTTTATATGTAGTAATATTTTACTGCCCACTGGGATGTAGATATGTAGGTATGTATTATTATCCTTGGGATTTAAGATCAGAGAGCTCAAATTACTTGTCCACGGTTTTAGGTGACAGAGTGGTGATTTCAGTTCCAAGGCTGTCAGATTCCAAAGACCCAAGAAATTTCCACTGGGGAATACCTCCGAGAAGTGCGTTTGTTTCTCTGAACTAGTATACTTATTGTTGCTGTGCTGGGCATCCCTTCTAAGCAGTCTTCAACCCTTGAAGACTGATTAGGTCTTTTGCCTTGTACATCCTTTTCCCCCCCTCTTGAACAAGTTTCTCCATCTTCACACTTACCAGTCCTCCCCTGAACCCCATCCTTCCTTCGGTTTCTCAACTTTGCTTTTACCTGTCAGTTTCCAGCCTTACTGTAAAACTTGCTCTTTCCTGAGAACAGTTTGTAGCTTGTAATGGATTCAGGTAGCTCATGCTTCTGGACCTGAATTATTTTCCAGATTCATTAAGCATTTCTTGCCTGAAAGAATACATGGCTCCTTACTGGTCTAGAAAGCCTACACCGCCATCCTCTGGCCAAGATGTGTGTCTCCTGAACTGATGCAGCCTGTATGGTTGACTATCCATGGTTGTGGCAGTACCCACAGGCAGGGTTCTCAGGGTGGGGCTGAGGAGCTCTGGAGAGCAAGTATCTGCCTGACCTCTTGAGCTGTTCTTCAATAATGGTTATTCTTTCTGGGTGGGAAGTGTAGCAGGGCCTGTGTAGCCTATGTGACCTCCACAGGAGAGCTGAGGAGACAAGGAAAAGGCCTATTTCCAGGACATCTTCCAGGAATTGAAGGGACGAAGAAGCTGGCCTGTGCAGTCAGCAATGTGGTATATGTTGTAGTGTCTAGATACTCTGTCGAGATCAAGTATTGATCAGACAAATATCCATACTGTGGAAACAAATCCTGGCAGTTGTAAATTCAGGTAGCAGCCACTCAGAAGCCCAGGTGAAGACCTCTTTTGGGAGTTCTCTCTATGTAATGTAAGATCGTAGTCTGTGGATGGAGGTGCAGGGGAAACATTCCAGTCACCAGGAATGTGACTGGCAGGGGTCAGGCCAAATATTCCTGCCTTATCCAGATAAGTTGGTTTTCAGGTCAAGTGGTGAGTCCTAAAGGGAAAGGCTGATATTAGACAGAAGCTGACAATGTGGAGTCTGAGGCTGAGGCCTGGGACAGCTCCAATGGGGTAGTGAGCACAGAGGGCACTGCATGCCAGTGATTCGTAGTTCTCTGGTGTCAGTCTCTGACCTCCTGGATCCCAGAGCAAGTTGGCAGCAGTAGCACTCTTGATTTAAAATGCGACACACTTGGAACCAGGCTGCTTGACTGTTGGACTGTATGCCTTAATTTACTGTCAGTAGATTCAGTGAAACGAAAGGAACAAAGCAGAAGCTGGGGCAGGTTTTGAAGATTGGCAAGAATGATTCAAACTCAGTTCAAGGCTGTTTTCCTTTTGTCTACTATTGAATAAGTATCTATCTATCTATCTATCTATCATCTATCTATCTGTCAGTCAGTCAATCTCTCTGCCTATCTGCCTATCTTTTCTTTCTTTCCTTCCTTCCTTTCTTTTCTTTCTTGCTCTCTTTGTTTCTCTTTTTCTTTCTTGCTTTCTGTCTATCTGCCAATCTATCTTCTATTTATCTATCTATATCTATGTATCTATATATCTATGTATGTATGTATCTCTCTTTCTGTTATCTACCATCTTTTGGTCTATCTATCTATCTATCTATCTATTTACCTACCTACCTATTATCTATCTAGCTATCTGTGTATCTATTATCTGTTTTACTATCATCTTTCTGTATCTCTCTCTATCATCTGTCTAGCTAATCTATCATCTGTCTATACATCCATCCACTCTATTCCTCTATCCCTCTGTCTATGCATTCATTCTATCTATTCTATCATCTGTTTATCTATTATCTGCCTACTTTCTGTATCTCTATTGTATATCTATCCGTTCGTTCGTCTATATCTATCAATTCATCACCTCACCCTGTCTATCCATATATCCATTCTATCTATCATCTGTCTATCTTATCTATTTATCTCTCCATCTACCTACTCTCTGTCTATTCTATTCTATTCTATTCTATTCTATTCTATTCTATTCTATTCTATTCTATTCTATTCTACCTATCCATCTGTCTACTCTATCTATCTATGTGTCTATCTATGTATCTATCTATGTATCTATGTATCTATCTATCTATCTATCTGTCATCTATCAGATAAGTATTCAAGGGAGAAGACCTAGCTTCCTGTCCTCTCGTGACTTCTCACAGAAAATCACTTTTAAGCTTAGTGATCAAACAACCCACATGGACACAGGAACCTGCCCAGCTAGAGAAGCTCTGGGCCATGGGCTTCCTGAGTTTTATCAAGTAGTCAGTTACTACATTATGAACCCCGCAGCTCATCAGCCATTAGGGGCAACACTGCCATCCTGAGGCCATGTGGAAATCTGAAGGCAGTGTTGGTTATCACAGGGACGCCAAGTGGCATTTAATGGGCAGTGGGCAGGGATGCCCATAGCTCTGATTGCAGAGAATTTGCCACAAAAAATCTCTTGCCTCAAATGCCAGTTGGGCCTCTGATAAGAAACAGTTCATTAGGGGATGTCACAGAATCTTTTAGGCAGCTCATAAGAGACTCTTGGTAGATAGAATAATTATAACTATTAGGTTGGTGCCCAGGTAGTTTTTGCCATTACTTTTAATGGTAAAACTGCAATTACCTTTGTACCAACCTAAGATTTATATTATTAATAGTAAGACCCACTTGACAAGGCTGGTGAGGATGAAGCCACTGTTGTCCTGGTCTGGCCTCACTGAGCATAAACAACCAAGAAGCCTATGAAAAGCAGATTTCTGAGCCCAAAGCTCCAGCGATTTGATTCAATCAGTCTGTGGTAGGATCTAGGAATTGCATTTTGTAGCATGCAGCGTGCTACAAAAAGAGTGCTAAGTGGTCCCGAGGCCCAGTGTGTGGGTGGGTGCATCACTGTGTGAAGACTGGAGAAAGTGAAGGCAGAAACCACAAAGGCAACACTTGAATATGGACAGGTGTAAGGCAAGCCAGCACCTTGGAGAATGGCAGAACATTTTTATTGATTGATAGGGGTCATCTGAGCAGTGCTTAGGGAAGTTCATACATCACTGCTGGCCAGGCTCCCCATGTGCATCCCATATGGGATACAATTCTGACTCAGATGTGGCTGGTACTCTAACTCTCCATCGCCCACCCATCCCATTGTTTCTAACCCTGTATGATCTGGAGCTCTCTGTTTCTGGTGAAAGGTTCTCTTTGTCAGGTTTCATGGTTTCTACCTCCATTTCCTAACAAAGGGCATCCCTGGCAGGACCCCTTCTCTCAGGATTCTCTGTGATGTGACCCACTATCTTCTCACATCCCTGACAGCCAGACCCACGTAGGCTGATCTGTTTCTGTTTCCTTATGCTCCCTTTTTGCCCCTTATCTAGACATATTGATTCCTAATTGCCTTTTGTCTGTTGTGTATAAGAACTGGAGTTCCCCTAGACCAAGTTTGTTTTTTGTTGATTCCCCCACCCTCCTCACCAGCATTATTTAGCTCTTTTACTCTTACAATGCTATGATTAGCATAGAGGAGGCTATTTACTGAGACCTTCAAAGGACCATAATGTTCCGTAACAAGCAACATGAGTACATAAAAATGTATGGATATTTATTTACTGCTGGTGTGAACCCACTGTTAAACACTGTTTGTTTATTTTATGTTAGGTTCTAAGCTAAGCATTGTGAAAAATGTAAATATCTCTCAGAAGAATATAAAACAAGGTTCTTATTCTCAAAAATCTACAGTGTACTTGAGAAGTTGTACCTGACTGGGCACGGTGGCTCATGCCTGTAATCCCAGCACTTTGGGAGGCCAAGATGGGTGGATCGCTTGAGGTCAGGAGTTTGAAACCAGCCTAGCCAACATGGTGAAATCATGTCTCTAATAGAAATACAAAAATTAGCTGGGCGAGGTGGTGCATGCTTGTAATCCCAGGTACTCGGGAGGCTGAGGAAAAAGAATTGCTTGAACCTGGAAGGCAGAGGTTTCAGTGAGCTGAGGAAGCACACTACTGCACTCCAGCCTAGGTGACAGAGTGAGACTCTGTCTCAAAATACATATATATATATGTGTGTGTATCTTGCATCCATCTTTCAGGTTAACATAAAAACACTGCTTTTGTTATTCAAAGAAAGATGAAAGTAAGGGGAAGTTTAAACCCCCTCATTAAGTCCTCTCAATTTATGTTACACACAGCTGTAGTTTTCATGTGACTCTGAAACTGTAGAGAACACAGATGCATACTGGATAGTCTAATATCCTGAAATGTAATCTTATGCCTTCCTCCCCTCTCTTAGTGGGAGTGACATAGGAGGGACTTCCTGGGTGTTTCTTCCCAGCCTATTACCATTCATCTGATGTCTGCAGTCTCTCCCTGGCTTTGTTTCTTTGAGGAGTGCTTAGAAAATGGCAGGACTAGCATTTAGGGTTGGGCATCTAATGCACTAGGTCATGAGTTCCGGGCATTGATTGTTGTTATCTAGGTCAATATGAAGAGAACAGTTTTTGGATGTTTTCCAAATGCTGGGGAGCCGTGCAAATAGCACTAATTTCTCTTTGCATTCTGCATTCCTCTAATAAGCCAGTAACATTATTTAGGCCCTGTTCAGGCCATCCATCACCACATAGTCCAGGTCTTTGTGTGAGTTGCATTCTCAGTAAGTGCCTGTTTGCTGTCGAATATATTTGTGTGGGACAAACTAATTATATTTATTTTTTATAGCTGTATCGAGCTTTTGTGGCTTTCCCAGACTTTTTCCGTAATTCAACTGCCAAGTGGTGGAAGAGGGAAATAGAAGAACTATACAGCAATCCACAGAATCCAGAGAGGAGCTTGAAGTTTGATGGCATATGGATTGTAAGTGTGTGTGTGTATGTCTGTGTACCTGTGGCACTTGTGTATCTTTGTGTGCCTAAGTCTATGTACCACTGACCTTCAGTCAAGAGGATAATCATTGTCCAAGGAAGACTTTGGACATGTCAGACACTTCCTCCTCTCAGAGTGGAACAGCCCTGATAGCCTACACACCTTGTACCGGACCTGAAGTTCCTATAAAACCTCTGAGACAATTTACTAGGAATTTCTTGGAACTTTGATTTCTTGAACTTTGATTGCCTCGCACCCACCTTGAGAGAGGCTTTTTTTGTTTGTTTGTTTGTTTGTTATGGTGTCTTGCTCTGTCACCCCGGCTACAGTGCAGTGGTACGATCTCGGCTCACCGCAACCTCTGCCTCCTGGGTTCATGCAATTTGCCTGCCTCAGCCTCGAGAGTAGCTGGGATTACAAACCCCCGCCACCGTGCTTGGCTAATTTTTGTATATTTAATAAAGACGGAGTATCACCAACTTGCCCAGGCTGGTCTTGAACTCTTGAGCGTATGATCCACCTGCCTCGGCCTCCTAAAGGGCTGGGATTGCAGGTGTGAGCCACTGCACCTGGCAGAGAGATTTTTTTTTTTTAATCTTCTAGCCAGTTGTTCTGTAGGCATGAATTAATCTTTCTAGCCAGTTCTCACCAGGATTTGATGAAACCTTCCAAGGCTGGCATCTACAGGAATTATTGGATGTTGAACAATTTGTTCATTGTTTCCCTGTGTCAGAATTTGCAGGTTGTAATTTTCATAAAAAGTAAGATATGTCTGTCTTTGGCATTTCTAGGATATGAATGAACCATCGAGCTTCGTGAATGGGGCAGTTCATCCAGGCTGCAGGGATGCCTCTCTGAACCACCCTCCCTACATGCCACGTAAGAACCCTTGGCCTCCTTGATTGGCAGAGCCACAACTGGAAGGATGACCACTGCAGGAGCCCAGAGGCCACGGGTGTGCCCTGACAGCACATCCTCATGGCTGCTGTGGTTTACTGGGAACCAGAGACCAAAGCTCTGCACGTGCTTTAGCCAGCTGGGCATGTGCAAGTGACTAGGCTCATAGAGCAAATTTCTCGAATCTGTCCAGAAAGCACCAACCAGTGCTCATGCCACCAAAAGGTTCTCACAGCTGGGTTTCTTAGTTTTTTAGGCTTATGTGAATCCATCACAGGAATTTCTTGTGTCATCAATAGGTGAAAATTATTGACTTGCCTTTATTGTGGAGCTGATGGGCTTTGAATTTATACTTGGTTCATATCTTGGCTCCAGAAGTGGTTTTTTTCCGTGAATTGTGTGGCTTTTCACAGATTATGTGATATTTTCAAATCTCGGTTTGCTAAACTATAAAAGACAGATCATGATGTCTTCTTCATACAAGTATGATAAGAATTACATGAAATAATTGACATGTCAAAACCCTAAATCAGAGCCTATCATGTGGTGTTTTACCACTGTCTGCTCTTTTTGACACCTCTGCTTTCTTCAGTCACATTGATGTTGAAAACACCATAGGTGCCATTGCGGCTCAGAGCTGGGGTCACTGTGCTGGTGTCTCTGGGAAGATGGAGAGTGACAGATGCAGGGCTTAAGTTAGTCTTAAGATCCAGGGCCCAATCCCTTGAAGAGAGGTCAGGGATAAACAGAATCAGGGCTGATTTCACCTCACCAGATCTTCCTTCTCAGATTTGGAGTCCAGGGACAGGGGCCTGAGCAGCAAGACCCTGTGCATGGAGAGCGAGCAGATGCTCCCAGACGGCTCCCCCGTGCAGCACTACAACGTGCACAGCCTGTACGGGTGGTCCCAGACCAGACCCACATACGAGTGAGTGTCTGTCTCCCTTCTCCAGCTGTCACAACGTGTAAGCATTGCCAGGACTAACGTAGCTACCCTACTTTTTCTTTCCTTCCTACTCTAAGGGTTAAGAAGATTCTCATGACAACTGTGTCATCATTCTTATTGATTAAACAAATGCTGGTTGACACAGAGTCAGGCCTTGTGATGGAAAGTAGTAGAACAGGTTTAAATAAAGCATGGTCCCAGCAGTGAGAGGTGAATGATCCTAGTGGGCAAGACACATGGAAATAGTGTAGTGATCACACAGGGTGGCAGGTGCTGAAATACCTTTAGTTGCAGGAGGCAAAGGGAACACAAAGGACTGGGTATCTCTCCCTTTTATTTCAAAAGTGAATCATCTTTTGAGATATTTGTTCTTTGGCCATTCTTGGTGGAGAGTAACTGGTATTGTACTGAATTAGCACAGTCCTGCTTTGCAAGCTCAATGAATATTATGAATTCTTCTTAGGACAATCTTCTAATCTTTACTAAGTTCCTCCTCAAATATAGCACACTATATATTGAGTAAACCAATTACAAGACTTAGTAATTCCTTACAATTTTGGGGTACTCCAGTGAGTTCACTATAGTGAAGTTCTTTGTAATGGACCGTAAAACACATGAATTGTTATCTCCACCATCTGGGATCAGTGGAGCCCCCATTACAGCTCAGATTCCCATGTTCCCTTCAATCATAGAGCAAACACTCACTAGGCTCGAGGGCTCTGGAAGGAGAAGCTCTATGGCCTGTGGTCCCTGGCTGTACTCTCAATTAGTCTCCTGTTCCCCTCCAACCAGAGCCATGCAGGAGGTGACAGGACAGCGAGGAGTCGTCATCACCCGCTCCACATTTCCCTCTTCTGGCCGCTGGGCAGGACATTGGCTGGGGGACAACACGGCTGCGTGGGATCAGCTGAAGAAATCTATCATTGGTGCGTGGGTTCCTACCCAGTGCCTGTGCTGGCAGGTCAGGGAGCTGAGATCCTTGGTCAAGAAGTGAGGAGGCAGGTGGTGAGAGCCTGGTCTGACGCAGCTGTGGTTCTCATTGCAGGCATGATGGAGTTCAGCCTCTTTGGCATATCCTACGTGAGTGTCCTTGGGATCCTCTTAAGCACCAAGAAGATGGGGACATCCTTCAGAAATCATCAGCAGGCTCATTTAATTTCCTCTTGTTACAGACAGGAGCAGATATCTGTGGGTTCTTTCAAGACGCCGAATATGAGATGTGTGTTCGCTGGATGCAGCTGGGGGCCTTTTACCCCTTCTCAAGAAACCACAACACCATTGGGACCAGGGTAGGACAGTGGCTCCTAGCTCCAGAGTTTCACTTGAAGAAAAGCCTCCATTTCTGAGCTAAAATTATATGAAGTCTGTATTTACTGGGATATCTTTGAAAAAAATTTTTCTTTTGAGACGGGTCAGTCTTTGGGCCAGGCTGGAGTGCAGTGACACAATTATGACTCACTGTAGCCTTGACTTACAGGACTCAAGTGATTCTCCTACGTCAGCCACCCAAATAGCTGGGGCTACAGGCACATACCAACATGCCCAGCTAATTTTTGAACTTTTTGTAAACACAGAGTCTTGGCATGTAGCCCAGGTTGGTCTCAAAGTTCTTGGCTCAAGTGATCTGCTCACCTCAGCTTCCCAAACTGCTGAGATTACAGGCGTGAGTCACTGCACCCAGCCCTTAAAAGTTGTTAAGCCTGGTGTCTCAGTGAATATTTCTCAGTGTTCTTTAGATTATTATTATTATTTTTTCTTTGTTTAGGCAGAATGGTAGCGTATGTACCAAAAAGAATGTCTTACAGTGACATTTTATCAGCTGTCCTAGCAGAGCTTCAGTGACACCTTTTCTAGTCTATTAAGAATATTCTCTGGGCCTCATCAATAGTTATCTTTTGTTTAGCTGTGAGTAATCTTGATTTGGAATATGCTTTCAGTGACCTTCTTAAGTTCCCTAGGTTTTCCAGGATGAGCTCCCAATACTGTTCTTTTTCTCCTTTAGAGACAAGACCCTGTATCCTGGGATGCTGCTTTTGTGAATATTTCCAGAAATGTCCTGCAGACCAGATACACCCTGTTGCCATATCTCTACACCTTGATGCATAAGGCCCACACGGAGGGTGTCACTGTTGTTCGGCCTCTGCTCCATGAGTGAGTGTCTAGCAGGGATCCCGATGACAAATGGATAACTTACTGCATTCTGGATGGTGGCAGTTGATAGACACAATTCTTCCAAATTAAACACATGATTGCCTTTGACAAGACCTCTTCTGGCATAGACCATACTTTATGATTCTCTTTAGCACAGTGTGATACATGTCACAGGTCATTAATAAAAGGCTATTTATTTAATGAAGAAATTGAAATGATGCAGTACAGCATAGAATAATCTCTTTTGAATTTGGCCGTGCTAAGGCCTGTCTATGTTTTGTAGCAGTTTGGTTATATGGACCTGGGTCACAAAAGAATGATTTCAGGAAGAGATTTGAGGGACAAGGGCCATTCTTGCATTTAAAATGTTTCATTGTTTCTAGATTCATCTATATCTCTACAAAGGACATGAATTCGTTGTTTTTTTACGGCTGCATAGTATTCCATGGTATATATGTGCCACATTTTCTTTGTCCAGTCTATCACTGATGGGCATTTGGGTTGGTTCCCAGTCTTTGGTATTGTAAACAGCACTGCAACAAACATACATGTGCATGTGTCTTTATAATAGAATGATTTATAATCCTTATTATACCCAGTAATGGGATTGCTGGGTCAAATGGAATTTCTATTTCTAGATCCTTGAGGAATTGCCACAGTCTTCCACACTGGTTGAACTAATTTACACTCCCACCAACAGTGTAAAAGTGTTCCTATTTCTCCACATCCTCTCCAGCATCTGTTGTCTCCAGATTTTTTAATCAACACCATTCTAACTGGCAGGAGATGATATCTCAATGTGGTTTTGATTTGCATTTCTCTAATGACCAGTGATGATAAGCATTTTTTCATATGTTTGTTGCCTGCATAAATGTCTTCTTATGAAAAGTGTCTATTCATATCCTTCACCCACTTTTGAATGGGTTTGTTTGTTTTTTTTTTTCTTGTAAATCTGTTTTAGTTATTTGTAGATTCTGGATATTAGCCCTTTGTCAAATGGGTAGGTTGCAAAAATTTTTTCCCATTCTGTTGGGAATAACAGTCTAATGATTGTTTCTTTTGCTGTGCAGAAGCTCTTAAGTTTAATTAGATTCCATTTGTCTATTTTGGCTTTTGTTGCCATTGCTTTTGATGTTTTAGTCATGAAGTCCTTGCCTATGCCAATGACCTGAATGGTGTTGCCTAGGATTTCTTCTAAGGTTTTTATGGTGTTAGTTCTCAGGTTTAAATCTTTAATCCATCTGGAGTTAATTTTTATATAAGGGGTAAGGAAGGGGTCCAGTTTTAGCTTCCTGCTTATGGCTAGCTAGTTGTCCCAACACTTTTTATTAAACAGAGAATCCTTTCCCCATTGCTTGTTTTTGTCTGTTTTGTCAATGATCAGATGCTTCTAGATGTGTGGCATTACTTCGGAGGCCTCTGTTTCATTCCATTGGTCTATATCTCTGTTTTGGTACCAGTGCCATGCCGTTTTTATTACTGTAGCCTTGTAGTATAGTTTTAAGTTAGGTAGCATGATGTCTCCAGCTTTGTTCTTTTTGCTTAGGATTGTCTTGCCTATGTGGGCTCTCTTTTGGTTCCATATGAAGTTTAAAGTGTTTTTTTCCAGTTCTGTGAAGAAGGTCAGTGGTAGCTTGATGGGGATAGCATTGAATCTATAAATTACTTTGGGCAGTATGGTCATTTTCACAATATTGATTCTTCCTAACCATGAGCATGGAATGTTTTTCCATCTGTTTGTGTCCTCTCTTATTTCGTTGAGCAGTGGTTTATAGTTCTCCTTTCTTTTACATCCTTCGTTAATTGTATTCTTAGGTATTTAATTCTCTTAGTAGCAGTTGTAAATGGGAGTTCACTCATGATTTGACTCTCTGTTTGTCTGTTGTTGATATCTAGGAATGCTTGTGATTTCTACACATTGATTTTGTATTCTGAGACTTTGCTGAAGTTCCTTGTCAGCTTAAGGAGGTTTTGGTCTGAGACGACAGGGTATTCTAAATATATGATCATGTTGTCTGCAAATAGGAACAATTTGACTTCTTCTTTTCCTAACTGAATGCCCTTTATTTCATTTTCTTGCCTAATTGCTCTGGCTCTGACACAAGAACAGAAAACCAAACACTGCATGTTTTCACTCATAGGCAGGTGACGAACAATGAGAACACTTGGGCACAGGGAAGGGAACAACACTTACTGGAGTAGGTGGGGTGTTGGAGGTGAGGGGAGGGGAGGGACAGAGGAGGGTGGGGAGGTTGGGGAGGGATAACACCAGGAGAAATGCCTGAGGTAGGCGACGATGGGGATGGAGACAGCAAACCACCATGGCATGTATGTACCTATGCAACAATCCTGCAAGATGCAGCATGTGAACATGTACCCTAGAGCCCAAAGTAAAAAAAAAAAAAAAAGTGCCATGGTTAAGAAATGTGGTAAGTACTTGACAAAACACATCTACATCCGAGCATTTCATAATTTTGAGGCACATCACATGGGAAAGCAGAGACTGGATACTCTGGATCAAGTCAGGTTTAGGAAAAAGGCAAGGATGGTTCAGGGGCAGCTGGATTTCCAACGTGGATCAGAAGTAGAGGAGCCTGTTCAGGATCTTGGACTGGGTCTCTGTTGAGCTCTGACTGTGGCACCTTCATTTCCCTTTCCAGGTTTGTGTCAGATCAGGTGACATGGGACATAGACAGTCAGTTCCTGCTGGGCCCAGCCTTCCTGGTCAGCCCTGTCCTGGAGCTCGTGAGTATGGAGGCTTCAGATCGGGGGAGGATCCCAGCTGTGAGGCTCGGGGAAAAGAAGGAGGAGAAGAGGCCTGAGCTGTGGGGTCCTACACATGGTTTCTTATTCTACCTCTGTCTCTTCCTCTCTTTCTGAGCCGAAGTCCATCACTTAGGTGTTCTGGGCCTCAGCTCTTTCATCTTTAAAATTGGCCTAACAGTTCTGGTTTATAGGATGATGAGGAAGAAAACATCTCATGGTATATTCAATGACATAATCATTTCTTTGTTAACTAAAATGAGAAATAGAAGGTCAGATGGGGCAATAGTGTAAAGAATAATAAAATCCTCTAGCACTATTAAAACTTCTCAGAAGGATTACTTGGCAATGTGTGTACTCGTATTGCTGCTGGCTAACCCTTCCCTTCCTCCTGCAGGAGGTCCTCCCAGCAGTAAAAGCCATTTCTTTACTTCTGTTGTTGATTAGGTTTCTGAATACCAGTGGATTAGTCTTAAAATATCAGTTGATTGCACCTTCACAAAATCTTATTGTACCCGCAAAATTTTTTTCTGCTCCACACACAAACCTCAGCTGTTTGCCTCTTTAAGGGTATATTGGGTAAGTCAGTGTCTATAAGCAAACAGTAATTTTTTTTCCCCAAAGTCCTGGATACCAAAGTACTTTATGATAGTTTTGGGTAGACAAATATCCCCTGCTTCAAAACCGGAAATGGAAGGAAGTTTTCCCCAACATTGTTAGCCTCCCAAGAGATGAGGCAAGTGGGCCCAAGGCCATCACTATGACTTTAACCTCTTTCCTGAGCCGTTTGGTTACTCTGTCCTGGATAATGGTGCCCACTGCCACTCCTTGTTTGTGTTTAATTTTAGAATGCCAGAAATGTCACCGCATATTTCCCTAGAGCCCGCTGGTACGATTACTACACGGTAAGTTTTTCTGAATGTCTGTACAACCTGGGAAAAGGATAGAGAATCCAGAGGCTTTAGATATGATAGACCTTAGGTCAAATGCTGGCTCTGTAACCACCTGCTGTGTGGTCTGAGAGATGTCACTTTAACCCTTGTAACGTGAGTTTTCTCACCTCCAAGTGGGGTAAGACCACTTCCCTCATAGAACCGTTATGAAATAATACATAAAGCATCTCACTTAGTATCTGTTTTGTTTGTTTGTTTGTTTTTGAGACGGAGTTTCGCCCTTGTTACCCAGGCTGGTGTGCAATGGCGTGATCTCAGCTCACCGCAACCTCCGCCTCCCGGGTTCAAGCAATTCTCCTGCCTCAGCCTCCTGAGTAGCTGGGACTACAGGCGTGCGCCACTATGCCCAGCTAATTTTTGTATTTTTAGTAGAGATGGCATTGCACCATGTTGACCAGGATGGTCTCGATCTCTTGACCTCGTGATCCACCCACCTCAGCCTCCCAAAGTGCTGGAATTATAGGCGTGAGCCACCACACCCGACCAGGATCTGGTTTTTTGTGGGTGTTCTCTTTGTGTTAGATTTTAATATTTCCTTATATCACTGCTATTTACAACGTTGTGTAAAGGCAGATGCTAGCAAACATTTGAGATTATGTTGCAGACTGTAGTTTTTGTTTTTATTGTTTCTATCTTTGCCTGCTGTAAGTTTGTAAGCATAGAGGCCTTTTCGTCTCTGCCTTTTATTAACTATCTCCCTCCATAGCATAGATGCTCAAAGAAGGGTACTACACATAATTACCTAAGGTAAGCAGGTGATCAGGCAATGTGCAACACACACACAGAGGTATGGGGCCCAACCCTTGTGAGTCTAAGCAGTGCAAGTGCATTTAGAAATGAGGAAGCAAGAAAGAGCTCCTTGCCACACCATTTCTGTGCTATTATGATCCCCAGAGACTTAGCTAGGAAGTCAGGGTCTTCTGGGGCAGCTCTGGGATGTTGGGGACCTGGAGAATGTAGGCCCTAATTTTTGGGGAAGAATCAAAGGTGGTATTGCCTTGGTCTCTAACCAGGCCTCTTCTTCTGACTTTCTGAGGAGAATAAAGTTGAGGGCTAGAAATACAGCAAAGGGGTACAAGCAGGGAAACAAGAAGCAAGGAACGTACTGGCCCTTACATCCCAGAGGATTGCAGTGCGATTAGGTGAAAACTGGAGAAGGATGTGCAATTTTGTTCCTTCTCTTCTCAGTCAGTGGAGACCAAGTCCTCCCCGCCGCCCCAGCCTCCCCTTCCTGCTGTTAGTCTGGATCTGCCCTTCGGGTGGTAACATGTTAAGCCTCTGCTGTGTGCTTCCCAGCCAGGCCTTTCCTAGGAACGGGTGGCCAGCTCTCCTTCAGTGAGACTGGCCTTTGGCCTGAGAGTGCATGTTGACTCTCCCATTCACAGACAGAAGATATCTTTGATTGAACAGGGAAAGACGAAATAAATCACGGAGCAAGCTATTTAGAAAAAGATGAAATTTTGATGTTGAATTAAAATGAAGATGAATTTTATAGTTAGGATTAATGAAGAAATGTCACCTTAATTAACCTTACCATGTTTGTATATGTATTACTTATTCTAGACCACAGGCTGGCAAACTATGGCCCACAGCCAAATCTTGATGTTGCCTGATTTGCAAATAAAGTTTTATTGGAACAGAGCCATGCTTATTTGCTTGTTGTCAACAATAACTGCTTCTTACCTCTAAAGTAGCAGCCCTCAAATGAGCAGATTTTGCCTACCAGGGGATACTTGGCAATGCCTGGAGATATTTTGGGTTGTCACATGAGGGTAGGGGTGAGGAGGAGTTGCTGCTGACATCTGAGGATTCTGCTAAATATCAAAAGGCACAGGATAGCTCCACAACCAAAGAATTGTCTGGACCAAAATCTCAATGGTGCTGAGACTGAATAGCCTTGCTCTAGAGAACATGTGGGCTGGAAGGATGGTTTCTTACGTTAGGTTTCTGAATCAGGTGAGAGAGTAGCACCTCTTCCTGTCACACATCAGGCAAATGTAGCTTGTACTGTGGAAGCAAAAGCAAGAGACCCTAACAAGATATTATAGCAGCCTTGTGAGGTTTCATGTAGCACTGTGTGAATGCAGAATGTGTAGTAGCAGGTATGTGGCGAGGGTAATGAACAGACATCATTTCAGAGGGTAGGATGAGACGTCTGGCAGAATGCATTGTTCATGCAGGGACATGTCTTCTACTTCATCATCTTTTCTTCTGGCCCACAGGGTGTGGATATTAATGCAAGAGGCGAGTGGAAGACCTTGCCCGCCCCTCTTGACCACATTAATCTTCATGTCCGTGGGGGCTACATCCTGCCCTGGCAAGAGCCTGCGCTGAACACCCACTTAAGGTAAATGACAGGACTGAGGTTTTCCTTTACATGTCAGTTAGCTTACCAATTTGTAGTGAAGCCCTCCAGATTGTAAGCATCACTCTCAAGCCCACATGCAATTTTACTAAACACTTGATTTTTCTATATTCGCGTGTTTGTATTTTAACCTTTATTCAGATGCTACATTCTGACTGATTATTAACAGCTGTTTTATGTTTAAATGTGTGAGATGATAGGTCTAAGAGTGTCATCTTTCAATCTCATGATTGAAATGGAAGTCAAAATAGGAGGAACCATGATTTATAGTAGTTTTAGGATACTATTGGGTCTAATTGAATTTTTTCTTAGAAAACTATTGCTGAAAAATTGTTTATTCCTCTGCAATATTTTAAACTTTTAGTTCAAAGTCTATATATAAATTAACAATAACTATTATCCAGAACTATAAAAATATGTATATTTCTACTTGGAAATTGTCTATTTTTGCTTAATGAAAGGAAAACATAAATTCTGTGATGTTAGTGCTGTTATCACCATTTCACAGATGAGTGAAAAGACTAAGCGATTTACTCAGAGTCACACAGTAAGTAGATGAGCAGAGACTAAAAATCACACCTCTCTGGTATCAATACTAAAATTCTTAGATTCCTTATTCATTTGATTCCAAACATTCAAATAAAAATGAAGAACTTAGGACATTTGAAAATAGACCTCACTCTACATGTTTAGGGTATTAGGTCCCTAAAGCAGAAAGATTTCAGCATTGGGATTTTCCTTTCAAAAGGAAAAGAAAGAACCCAGTTAGTTTGGTTGTCATCACTTTAAGAGCCTTAAAGGAGAATCCTTTTGATCCACTCGCTCATTCATTTGTTCATGATATGAAGTCATATGGCCAGATGGAGACAGAATTAGAACTAAGTCGCAAGTCTCTTGAACTCTAGTATGCAGTCGTTATCCCACAAAGCACTTCCCTTTGCTCCTTTATGTTTGTATGTAAACTCTTGGTTTGTGGCTGTGGATTTGCTTTTAGCTAATGCCTCTCTTCCACCTCACTGCAGCCGCCAGAAATTCATGGGCTTCAAAATTGCCTTGGATGATGAGGGAACTGCTGAGGGTTGGCTCTTCTGGGATGATGGGCAAAGCATTGGTGAGTAGGAGTTGCCTGGGATTCACACTCATGGCATTGACTGTATTCCTGGGTATTTTACAGGCCTGCTTTCACCTTTTCCCTGTTAAAACAATTTTGCATTTTAAAATACAACCATTTATTAATTCAAGGGTATAATCCATATTGCACATGATCTTTATGCCTCATAAATGAAGCTTATTTCTGAATCTCCTCTTATTACTCAACCATTCTAATCCACTATAGGAGGAAGCTATATGGGAGCCACAGGGAAAGTTTATTTGTAGCCAGCTGAGATAAACTTTCATAGGATTCATGGTCAAGGACATATTCCCTAACTACATGGTTCTTACTGTCCCAGTAAGAGGGGCAATACCTCTATCAGTTGTATTATTTATGGGGTATTTTCTATTAGGAAGCTGTAGGCATTGGTAAAATCTCAGGGGGATTTCTCAAGAAATCATTAACTATTTCTAGATAAGTGCTGTCCAATAGAACTTTCTGCAGTGATGGAAATGTTCTATATCTTCTGCTGTTCAATATTGTATCTACTTGACATATGTGGCTATCAAGCACTTGAAATATGACAAGTGCATCTGAAGAATTGAATTTTTGATAGTATTCAATCTTAACAAGCTTAAATTTAAACAGGTAAATTTTACTAGTGACTACTGTCTTAGCACAGTTTTAAGGGATAGCCAGTGGCTACCGAGTGGTGAGTCATTTAGAAAGGACCTAGCACACAGGGAAGAGTGTGACAGCCATGAGGGCAGGGTGTAGGATGGGAATTCTTGAAACAAAGCTGTTGACTAGTTCACCTTCACTGGCTGTGCTAAACTTCATCTTCTTCCTGGGCCTGTGGCACACAGTTAGGATAAAGGACAAAGAAGCCTTTTCTTTGATCATCTTTGTTCTCTGGAGATCACATTTTTAAAATTGTGTAATACCCCAAGATAAACCCACCAAGAGACCAGTCTTGGTGTTTGTGTATGTATGTGCATATGAATGCATGTGCAGAGATGTGTACATATAGCAAAAAGAACATGGAAATTCTGAGCCGATTAGGAAGATGTTGGGAATGATAAACCACAAGGAAGAGAAGTGACTTAAAAATCGTGTCAGGAAACTGTGTTATATGACATGACTCTGTCAGACAGATGCATCTATACACATTCATTTCAAACATTTTGTATAAACTGAGTGTGGGTGCACAGTTTGATTAGTCTCCAGAAAGAGGACTTACATTTTAAAATGGAACACTCGAAAGACAGAAAATAAAAACAAATATAAGCCTTACTCTCTCAACCAAGACAAGTAGGCAATTAGAAGAGTATTTATATATTCCATAGCATAGAGTTCTATAGCACAGGTCCAGGCCATGTTTATCTTGTTGTTTGTTTGCAGATACCTATGGGAAAGGACTCTATTATTTGGCCAAGTTTTCTGCCAGCCAGGTGAGTGTGACTGATATGAAGAGAGAATAGGGTTCTACTGGCTTAGGAGGATGCTGAATGTTGTAAGGGCATAGAATACCACCTAGAATTTCTTCTCATCTTGCTAATTCACATTCTTCTACTTCTCTAGACTTCCGGTGGAAATTTACTGTGCTCCCAGGAAGGCTTTCTGTAATTTAACCTATCAACATCTCATCAGTAATGATCATTATTCCAGTTTACCATGTTACAGATGGACGGGTTGTTTCTGTTATCTAGCCCTTGTTCCTAATTTGCCTTGGAATGGCCTGCACATTTTGTGATTTTTCCACCTATAGAATATAAGTATCTTGACAGCTGAGACTTTCATCTCCTATAGAGTTCAGGGCAATGTGAAAAACCCTGCAGCTGCTTGTCAATGCAAAGTGGATGGCAGTTGGCCATAGGAGATAGAGTGATGAGATCATGGTTTCCATGATCCAAAGACACAAGATAGTGACTCTGAAGTTGTCTTACTTTATGATCTACATTTGTGCCTAAAAAGAGGTTGGAAAACATTTGAACTAATTCTGCTATTATCTTTTCCTGTTATCTCCAATTCAACAGAATACAATCCAGAGTCATATAATTTTCAACAGTTACATCACCAGTACAAACCCTTTGAAACTGGGCTACATTGAAATCTGGGGAGTGGGCAATGTCCCCATTACCAGTGTCAGCATGTCTGTGAGCGGCATGGTCATAACACCCTCCTTCAACAGTGACCGCACGACACAGGTTTGTGACCAGCAAAACTGCGAATGCCATTTCCCAACCTTAATATACCTAGTGCAGTGCCTTACTGCTTCCCTTCCAAATGATGCCCTCTCCTGCCAGGCCCTCCAGAAATCTCTGTTTTCAGTGTGTTAGGAATGGACAGCATGGAGATGAATGAAAAGTCGTTGTTTATCATCATTTGGAATCCATGGCCTGGATTCTTACTTTCCATGTTTGTCTTCTTGTCTGTAAATCTAAGTAAAACTTTGTCTTGACTCTTTTACCTCTGCCTCAGAGATCAACTTCCAAAACAGCTTGAACTATTATATTTTATCAAATATGATGCCATCAGTGAAAAGTTGCTCTATTATTTCATGTGCCACAAAGAAAAAAGGATGACAAAATTATGATAGAATTTCCTTATCACTCAAATGTTTTTTACAATAAACTTATAGAAAGTTTTTGAAAATTCTTTAGACATAAATTTTTATCTATATATTTCAATATTGTAAGTGATAATAGGGAGGAAAATGTTGAGTGGAGATACAGTGATGATTCTGCCTCAAAGTAATTTAGAAGAGGTAGACCCTGAATGTGAAGAAGTGCTAGAAATATCTTACCTAACTTGTATCAATTTATTATTATTTATTATTTCAATTTGTATTCAAGTCTTTTATTATTTAAATTTTATTTGTATTATTTAAATAGTTTATTACTATTTAAAAGAAAAATACATGTTACAAATTGTTTATTTCCTCTGTACTGCAAAAGGTGTTGGTGATTCAGCATTTCACAAAAATTCTTCCACTCCTGTCTATGAAATGTTTTCCTGAGCCACTAACACACTTTATATACATTTTCATCCTAGTACTTTCTTGACCTTACAAACTATTCCTTCCTGTAATAATCCTTAAATGGTTTTCAGTCCATCCATTCCTAACACAGTAATAGCAATAAAGTTTACACAGGCACAGACAATAACAATTATGTCATGAGTGCTGCCTGGCTCACAGTAATTCTATGGTTGCTGATTAGAAGATACACTCTGGTCTCTTGAATGTTAAATATGTGAAAAATCTATACCTTGGGATTAATGCAGTGTAGTGGTGCTAACATGTATCATCCTGATGGTAAATGAAACTTCCTTAGGTGCTTACCGTTTTTGTCTGAGCTTTTTTTCTTTCATAATCCTTCCTTATGACTAGGCCTGAAACAAAAGTTTTCTTTCAGTTTTGCATTTTTTAGATTTATTTCCTCATACTTGTGGTTATCACGTCAACAACTTCCCCAACTTTACCTTAAAGTACTTTGCCCAAACCTCATGGACAGACATACAAGCTGATGAGGGCACGTGAGGTGAAACCTTCTTGACAGCAACTGCCTAGGAAGAAACAGGAATAGTGGACTCTTGCTGGGCAATCTTTGGGGTGCTATGGAGGAACAGGAGGAGGAGGAAACAGAAGGATGGTGCCAAGGAAAATCAACACCTCAGTAGAATGAAAAAGAGGGTGTTCTCTCCAGTTTGTGCAGTTCTTTCTCTTCAGTGGTTGTATATTAAATTTTTTTTTCTTTTGAGACTGGGTCTCACTGTATTGCCTTGGCTGGAGTGCAGTGGCATAATCTTGGCTCACTGCAATCTCTGCCTCCTGAGTTCAACCAATTGTCCTGCCTCAGCCTCCCAAGTAGCTGAGATTATAGGCACCCACCACCATGCCCCCCTAATTTTTGTACTTTCAGTGGAGATGGGGTTTCACTATGTTGGCCAGGTTGATCTTGAACTCCTGACTTCAAATGATCCACCCGTCTTGGCCTCCCAAAGTGCTGAGATTACAGGATTTAGCCACCGACATGGGCCATGTTGAATTATTTCAAGGCTCATCTCTACTGTTGAATAATGTTTGTACTCTAAAACATTAGAAAACACCCTCTCGTCTGAAAATCTGAGGGCAGTCTTTTAAGTAGACAATACAATGTAGAAGTTTTAGGAGGTTCTTTGGACTGTTATTTATTTGCATGCAGGAAATTTCAACACGGGATGCCCAATTGTTTTCCTTTGGTTCTTAACAGGTGCTAAGCATCGATGTGACCGACAGAAACATCAGCCTACATAATTTCACTTCATTGACATGGAGAAGCACTCCGTGAATTTTTAGAGCAAGATCTGAAACTATGAATGACTTTGAAACTAATACACTTCATACTCATGAAAATTATTGTGTGTTGCTAATGGGTTCATTCTCATTACTGGTGAAATATTTTTGTTAATTTTGTTATATGTTTTGCGTGTGAACCCTAAAGGTTAAATCTTACCCCTGTGGGATAGCAGGAGAGAGGTGTGGAAAATCTGTGTATTACCTTAATGTCTCTATGTGGTTATAATGGTAGTGATTGTTCATTATATGACATTTACTGAAGAAGAACTGGGTCCATGATGAAGTGTATGTCCATATGTGTAATCATGGAATGGACCCCATTCTCTTGCTAAATACACAAGAAAAAGCTTTCTGTGACAGTTCCAGGTCTTGAAGCTAATCATTACCTCAAGAAAGTATCCAGAAAGAACATCTGCTAGTTGGTTTTAGGCCGGGTCGGAGTGGGGAACAATACATCTAATTGGTTATAGGTGGGGTGGGGGTGGGGCGATCATGATAAGGGAAGAAAAGGCAAACACAAGGAAAGATCAGAGGAAACAGAAGATGATAGTAAAAGTGATCACAAGTAAGAACATAATGTGAAATTATCAGCAGCCTCACGGGGAGGAAAACGGAAGAGTCAACTCACCTGAGACAAGAGGGTCTTGAGAAATCCCTAGCATATGGGGATAGCGGCGAGAATGAGATCTGAGCAGGCAAAACTGAAGAGAAAGTTTGGAGGGTAAAAATAATTTATTTTCA